ACGGGGATAATTTGAGAGAAAATTCTTGGAAACTAGCTATTTAAAATTTTATTAAATTTCCTCTGCACTTTTCCGGGAAATTTACTACTATAATTTTCTGGAACTTAACCGAGGAATTTGGTTGGTAGACTCATTTATCATATTAATATCTCAAATCTGACCAAAGGATTTTGAAAAATACCCAAAAAAAAAAAATTTTTATCGTCTTTTTTCCAAAAATTTTTTTGTAATCGAAAAAATTTTTAAATAGAAAAATTTAAGGTTATATATAATAAAATCATATTCCTTACGTCAAGACGAATCGACCGATATATATAAAGTATACATTTGAGGTAAATTTAAAGAATTAATGAAAGTTAAAAAATCAAAAATTCATATTTTGGCTATAAAATTTTGCTTTCTCCACGAGGAAGCAAATTTTTTTGCTGATCGTAAAGAGGAAGCAAAATGTTCATGTAATGAACATCTGAATTTACAACTTGTTTCTATTTGTTTATAACAATTTGTTTAAACAAATTATTTTTTAAACAATTTTTTACGTCAAAGTAATTGTTTGGACCGCAGTCCTGTTTCCAAATTTGGTATTGCAAATATTTCCATGTGTCTTATTATGGGCTCAGATGGGTGCACCACATTCCATATCGAATGGCGTTCTTAGAATTTTTATATTAATTAATTTTTTCTATTTGTTTATAATAATTTGTTTAAACAAATTATTTTTTAACAATTTTTAATGTCACTAGTCATTGTTTGTTTCATTGCAATTCTGAAGCTACCAACTGTGAGCTGACGTAATTCAGCATCTACCGAGCCCTATATAAACTTCAGACGGAATAACTTGTTATTTAAAAGAAAATATAATTAAATAAGAATAAATGATCAAAGTGACAATTATAAGATTATTCCACAGCCAGCGCGACCGGGTTCCGAGTTGTTTTTAATAAAATAAAATAATTTGCACGCGGACGCCAATTAATTTATTAATTAAAATTAACAAAAGACTTTAGATCACAGGGAGGGAAGTTGGTTGCCCGACACTTTAAAATATACGTCACAATAATAAAATTTCCAAAATAAAAAAATTTTACGAAATTTTTGTCAATTTACACTCAAAAAAAATTTTTTTTTATAAACAATTCTAAAAAAATGTTCAAAATTTTTCGAAAGTAAACATTCAAAAAAAAATTTTTTTTATAAACAATTGTAAAAAAATGTTCAAAAATTGTTCGAAAGTAAACATTCAAATAAATAAATAAAGTCATAAAAAATTTCGAAAAAATTATCAATTTTTTCAATATATTGTTCAGTCCAACTGTCAACAGAATTACGAACTAAACACAATTAAAATATTTCAACAATTCAAAAATATAATTTACACAAAATAATATATACAATTAAAATCGACGAGAAAAAATTATGAAAATAAATCGTCGTTATTCCCGGTATGTCGCTGCATACATGAGGCAAGTTTAGACCTGAGTATGTCAAGGTCAAGAATAAATGATCAAAGTTACAATTATAAGATTCCGAGTTGCTTGGGCTCTATTTGACGATAATAAAATAAAATAATTTGCACGCGGACGCCAGTTAATTTATTAGTTAAAATTAACAAAAGACTTTAGATCACAGGGAGGGAAGTTGGTGAACCCAAATACAAAATATCGATCGATTCAATGGTTGAATATGATAGAGTGTCATTATATTTCAACAATAATCGCGTTCGACTGTCATTACACAATTTACAACTGCAGAATATTTAGCATGTCTCGTTATTCATGTTCGAAATATAACCAACTAATCAGAATAGTCTCTTAGAGAAACTGTTCGTGTACTGTATGGTGCTTATAATGTCTTTTTGTAATAGACATGGCCTTGTCAATTTCTATAATCTCCCTGACAATAAATTTTTTTCCCTTGACAAATAATTTTTTCCCTGAGATTTCCCTGACTTTACTGACATGTGGCCACCCTGAATTATCTAGCGAAATACGTACAGATTTTTTGAAATATTAATGCCAAAAAAAAAAAATATTTTTTTTTGCAGTTCAAGAGTAGTATAATACCCTACTGTATTTTAATTTTCTTAAAAAAATTTCTATTCTTCAATAAAAATTGTTGAAAAAGCATATTTTTTGTCGAGTCAAAGTGGTGTAACCCCTTAAGAAGAGAAACTCGTGTAAAAAAAATTTTTTTTAACTTTTTTTTTGCTTTTAAAATTAGTTTACTATCTATAGAATATGATCCTACATTACTAACCTATAATTAGAAGTATGAATGTTTATACTGAACATAAGTTTAGTACTTCAGATGCTACCAAATGCAGTTAACGATGAGCACGAAATCCCTCTATTCTTTCGGTTTCTTGTTAATATAATTTTATTAATTGTCATCAAAGGTAAAATACATGTTTATAAGTGCTTCAAATGATTTTATCGATATTTTTCGCATTTGTTCACAGGAAAAAATAAGTTTTGTTTCAAACCCGAATAGAAGCTAGTTTCAATATGGGACACAAACCAGACTGATATAGTTTCTAACTCGCTCATAGAATAAGTCTTACTTTAAGCCCACTGTAGGGGCTAACAATAAGCTGCCTTTCGTAATAGAAAGTAGCCACAAGCCAGAACCTGGGCTTAAATCCAGCCACTGCGCGGTATAAAAATTAGGTAACATAACCATATGTTATTGAACCATGACCATATGTCAACACCATATTATTGAAACTTTTACACAAGTTTTGAAACATCAAACAACATGTTATTGATATAAATCATACTTTATATATATATATATATATATAACATAGAGAGACCAATTTATTTTTGTATACAATTTATATATTTTTATATTTGTGAGAAAATTGTAATAAAATTATGTTGTATATATAACATTATTTTCACACTCATAACAATTTAAGCTGAATTTATAGGACACAAACAATTCATGATATGAAAATGTTTTATAAACATAGTTTTTAAATTTTTTATACAGGAATAAAGATGTGAGTCTTTGGAATTAATTCTTTTAGTTCCGATTAACTATAGACGCGTCACATTTTTGGAAAGGCGTCCATGACTCAATAGTATTTAGACCTCATGGGCTTGATTGAAGACTTTTAACTTCTCATTTCTAACAAATCAAATTTTGTATTGAGTCCAAGACCACAAAGGCTTGTTTTGAATCTAATAGAACTAAATATTTTTCATATTAATATCTCGTTTTTTATTAAGACCTCAACGGCTTATTTTTAGACCATTATTTGTGATTAATATTAGTTATCGGCTACTTTCTAATCAAAATAAAAAATTAGACTATGTTCGGAGTAAGACTTTTTTTCTGTGTTATATTTTTTACTGAGAAAAATTTTTTTAACAACTTTGGTTTTAACAAATTTTTTCTCAGTAAAAAAACCTATGCGAAAAATATCGATAAAATCATTTGAAACACTTTTAAACATGTATTTTACCTTTTTTTGCATTTATGGGATTTTTTGCTGCCTTGTAAAAAATAGTTGATTTAATTTTTTTTTAAATAATTATTAGAACTTTATAATTTGAACACTCTTGAAGAAAAATATCGTTGGCCGATTAAAAAATATTAAGTTTTAACGAAATTATTGCAATTTTACGAAAAAGCAGCTTTTCCCCATATAAAATACATGGGTAACTTCAAAGGCCTGGCAGCACCATTAAATATTGATCGATTTTTAAATAAAGAATTAGGGATTTCTTTTTCTACTATTTGGAACAATTCTAGGGAGCGGCAGCAAGAAAATTCTAAAAAATAAATTTTCATGTGTATTTTTGGGCCACCATAATATACAACATAACACCGTTTTAAAATTATTATAATACTAAATAAGTTACCATAAATTAATAACAAAAAATCTCTATGAGGAAGCAAAGTGTTTATGAAATGAACACAAAAAGTTCATACTTCAACTTGGCAGCGGTTTTTATTTTTAATGACATATTACCATTTTGATTTTTTAAATCAAAATTGTCAAAATTCAAATTAAGTAAGTAAAAAAATACTAACTCTGGGTTAGTATTCTGGCAAAAGTGGATAGCATGCACCTGCGAATAATAAGATCATGTAAAATATTGAATATAACTTTTTTTGAAATGTTTTTTTATAACTTACTTGCATATTCACCCAGATCAAGAATCAAATGCAAAATTTTATAGAATCTTTATCAATTTTAAACTGAATATTGATTATTTCGCTCATAAAACGAACTCACATTTTATTATCAAATTAAAATTCAAAGTTCTGTAGAATCAATAATATTTTATTAAACACAATAGAAATTGGCAAAAATTTACTTTGACTTATGTAAATTGCTATAAACATAATAAAAATTTTAAAGAAAATTGTCGAGTTTTGGGCGTTTTTTCCCACCTCATCCTGACTCATTGTGTACTTGCCTAATTTTTACTTATTTTATACAAAGTGTCTAAACGTCCGGCTAGACGGACATCAAAAAACGTCTAAACGTCCGTCTATAGCCACCCGACTTTGTCCGCAGAATACTTTCGGGCATTTCCGACCCCCCCCCCTTCCTCCAAGGTTTCCTTAAAATTTACGTAGACGGACAAAATTATCAAAAATTATTTTGTCCGTCTAGTCGGACAAATAGACGCAGGGTATTTTATACTATATAACATAATTGGATATAAATATGTAACATAACCTTATAAACATTTTTGAAACACAGTTTTATAAACTTGTCGCATTAAGTTACACATTTTTATAATTGTATGCAATTAATAGGAAGTGTAATAATTTGTAATAAAAAATAATAATGTAGATATATATATATATTTATAACTTAGATTCTGTTTTGTAATAATTAAGGTAGGCTAAAATTCATACTAATTTAACAACTTAATGAATGAAAAATTAATCTTCGAAGAACAAAATTTGTTGTACTGTTCATAATTTTTAATAAATATAGTTCTTTCTACTGTCAACATGCTTAGAAAATTACTAATACAAACCTTTCCAATCTGTGAATTTAAGTTTTAATATACTTTCAGTATTTTCTGTTAAATCAATATGGTAAACATTTCAAATACAAAACTTTTAAATTAGTAAATATTTTTATCTAATGTTAACTCATTAGATCAAAAAGATCATCATTAAAAGATGCTATTTACAAATTGGTAAATAATTCTTTGATAAACCTATCAAAAATTTCTACCCTGCAGAACAAAACATGGAAGAATTTGTACCTACAATATCTACAACAAGAAGAATAGAGTACGGAGCGCCTATACGCCCTAATTTATGAAGTACGGAAGCTTCTATGCGCCACCACTAAGCACTGACTCGCGTAGTGTTTTAAAATTCTCGGTAAAATTGAAACCCGAGAAGGTAAGAAAGAAAATTGCGGTAAATTACCGAAAAAAAGAGAATTTATGAGAATATTCATTTAAGTGATTGATAATTGCCTTTTTTAAATTTAAATATGTATTTTTATAGTATGTAAGTTATAAATAAACGACCGACATGTTATTAAATGAATAATTTGAACAATGAATATAATAGACTGTAATGGTGCAGTCCCATGGAGCAGATTAGCAGAATAGATTTCAGCCAATCAAAAGTTAGTCTCTCGCGGCAAATTTTGCATTTCCGTTAGAGACTGCTTTTTATTGGTCAACGTCTAATCTGCTAATCTGCTCCATGGGACTGCACCCTAATTTTCTCTGTGTTCTTACTGACAAGATGACAGTCGGGTATATATGCCTGCACTTTTATCCTTGTCTAACACGTGCGTCGTCATGGCAACATCCCAAGTAGCACGATATATCAACCAGATGTTACGGTGATATCACCGGGGAATGTCACCGTGACATCAGGAAAATGTCAAAATGTCCGCCTTACGGTGATATCACACGGTGACATCGTGGTGATATCATGGTGACATCAAGGTGATATCACAGTCATATCACGGTGATATCATGCTGATATCACCGTGATATCATGTTGATATTTTACAGGGATTTAAAATTTTTTAAAAATTATTATTTTTTACTATTTTTTTTATTATTTTTATTATTTTTTTTATTTATTATTATTTTCTAAATTATTAAAAATTTTAAGTCCCTGTAAAATATCAACATGATATCACGGTGATATCACCATGATATCACCGTGATATGACTGTGATATCACCTTGATGTCACCATGATATCACCTCGATGTCACCGTGTGATATCACCGTAAGGCGGACATTTTGACATTTTCCTGATGTCACGGTGACATTCCCCGGTGATATCACCGTGACATCTGGTTGATATATCGTGCTACTTGGGATGTGTGTTAGACAAGGATAAAAGTGCAGGCATATAAATGTACCTGATTCAATATAATAATGTAATATTATATCAATATTAATATATATATTATATATTGTAACAAAGATATTTTTCATTATAATAATAATTGTACAGTCAGGAACATATGTCTGTACTTTTATCCTCGTCATACACGTTGTCATGACAACGCACGTGTCAGACAAGGATAAAAGTATAAGTAAAAATTCTCAGAGAAAAAACGATCCGGTAATTTACCGGTAAATTACCGTAATCTTCTTTCTCTTCTTGACGTAATTTACTGTCTTTAGAACACTAGACTCGCGTTTCGAGCCACATATCAAGGCACGATTGAATCGACCTACTCGTGCGTGCCTCGTAGCCTGCTCCGTATCTCACGGAAGCTTTGACGATGCTTATTTGTTTTGATTGTAAACCCAGTATAATTATTTTATTGTTATTACCCTGTTTTAAAAAAAGAAATGACATCAAATGTAAAGGTGCTTTTATACCTCCAATTTCGATCAGATGAACATTATTTCTGGACCGTGAAAATGCGTGAAAAGTCATTTTCACGGCGGGTATTTTTGAATTGTTTTAAACAAAAAATGTTTTTTTAAGAAATATAATATTAAATAATTGTTTTAATATGTAAGAACACTTTAAAATAGTGATAGGAAGATGATTTGATTGAAAAATTTAGCAAATTTTGCTTTAAAACGTTTTCTGCTACAAGAAAGTGTAAAATGACGATGTTTGTGAAATGGTTTGTACAGTGCTTCTTCCTTGTGAGTGTCTCTCAGAGTTTTGTTTATGTTATGTCGGTTCTTTTTAACTTGTAATAAATAATGAGTACTGAAAATAAATCGGTAAGTTGAAATGTTTATTAAGTAATTTTAAATTCAACTACTTGATTCGAAAATTAATTATAATTACTTATGAAAATCATAAGTAATTATAAAACTTGATATTTAAAAACACAAAAAGTATGTGTATGAATTTGAGGTTATAAATCAATTTTCCACGCATCTCTCAAATACTTTCTGTATATTAAGTTTCTTGCAGTTATTCGAAACAATTAGTTGAATTGAAATTTATTTGATAAACATTTCAACTTACCGATTTATTTTCAGCACTCATTATTTATTACAAATTAAAAAGAACCGACATAACATAAACAAAACTCTGAGAGGCACTCACAAGGAAGAAGTACTGTACAAATCATTTCACAAACATCGTCATTTTATACTTTCTTGTATCAGGAAACGTTTTAAAGTAAAATTTGCTAAATTTTTCAATCAAATCATCTTTCTATCACTATTTTAAAGTGTTCTTACATATTAAAACAATTATTTAATATTATATTTCTTAAAAAAAACATTTTTTGTTTAAAACAATTCAAAAATACCCGCCGTGAAAATCACTTTTCACGCATTTTCACGGTCCAGAAATAATGTTCATCTGATCGTTATTTGAGGTATAAAAGCACCTTTAAAAGATCTTTTATTTTCATAAAACCGAATTCTGCATTTACGATCAGTTAGTCACGGGTTAAGGCCTTTCTCCAATATGTTCCTAAATGTTTTTGCGTTGCGTGACTGACGCGTTGGTTCGTAAGCGCAGTGACGTCATCAAAGCATTGATACCAATCGCGAACAAAAAGTTAGGTTTATGATTTTAAGACACTGAATTATTTAATTTGATTTTATTTAATTTTTAAATGTTTGTAGTCAAAATTCATGAGAAGTAAGTCAGGAATCTTCAAACTATTTTATAGAAAGAAATGTCATTTAACATCACAAATAGTCACAGGGTTTAATGATTTATGTTATGGCCAAAAAAAAGTGTCAGCTCCGACCCTCATAAAAAATCTGACTACTGACTTTGACTAAACCTCACTTATTGTGGTGTTCTATGACTGCAATCGTAACAAATACTACGGAAGCCTGTACTGTACGGCTCACGAGCGTCTCGGACGCAAGTGGCGGTGTTTCGTACCACAAGTGGCACGAAGTCCGTCCAACTTGTGGCAAGTTCGTTAGTTCGTGCCACTTGTTGGACAGACTCCGTGCCACTTGTGGAAAGTGGATTTTTTGAAGGGTTATTCACAAATATGACAATTCCGTTGGATCCTGTTGCTATATATTTCGTCAGTGCTTTTTATTTCAATTTCATGTGAAGAAGAAGAAATGAATTTTATAAGATATTAGTAATATTAGCATATTAGTAAATGTCATCGTACAAACTTTTTATAGTAGCTTAATTTATTCTTATTATTGCATAAATAAGCACTCTAAATGTCTATTAACCATTCCTAATAGTTATTTATAACATATTTCGTCGATTAACGACAATATTTCACAAGGAACCGAAACGTAATCCAATCGTAACCCAATTCGGTTACAACTCGGTTTACCCAATCCGCCAGGGCTGGACTATAAGTAGATCCAATATTTGGTTCAAATCAAAGTTATATCGAATGAAAACAATCACTCAGAGATTGATTGAGCTTCTTCTGAAAATGTCAGAAAAACATGCACGATAAATGCCAGTTTCACTGCATTCTACTCAACCACCAAAGTAGCTGAGCATGCGCATTAGCCATGTGCTGTCTCTTTCTCTCGCAAAAAGTGTGCGAGTAAGATCTGGCTGACGTATATCTCTCAAGCACCCCGGTAACACTCTTGAGTTGAAACTCAGACCAGATTTGACCGTTGCCACCGGTGGCGCTGGCTGTGTAGTGGGAACATTTCAATGAAAATTCATGGGATAACACACAAAAAGTTACTTCTCACTTATTAAAGTTTATTTAAGGAAGTTCTCTCGCAAACAGAAATGACGAAGAGTTAATTATCAAACTTGATAAACTGATAGATAATAGTTTAAAGAAGATGTAGTTAAATTTTTAGAGGTCTAGGTGGATTTTGACAAAAGATATAAACAATTTTCTCTTTTCACATTTAACACGGGTTCTTATGGGAAATTGAATTTTTTGGTCTGAAATCTCAAATTGGGAAAAATCTGACGAAAAGATATTACTGGAACTTTATATACATAAAGTTTAATGGCCAATGTTCACTTACTTTTAATAAAATTGATCAGACCTGGCTTAGGAGACTCACAATTAATTATTTTGTCTAAAAAAATACCGTATTTTGACAATCAGAAATTACTTAGCACAACGCTTGGCAACGTTGCGTCTTGTAGGTTAGGTATAGAAAAAGCGCGAAATTTGAAAGTAATATAAGTAGTATATACATATAATAGTATATTCTTTAAAGATTCATAATAATGAATAATAATTTGAATTTGCTTATAAAAAATTAAGATTTTTAAAATAATATATTATTATTATTATTATTTAACGAAAATAAATCAGACAATAGCAGGCGACACGAAACGGAACGGGGGAAATATAATCCAACGTTGCCAAGCGTTGAGCTAGTACTACGTGATACAAATGAAAACTTAAATGGGCATTGATTTGACTGACGTTGGAGGGAGAGAACTTCCTTAATCGTGTTTATTTGTGCATATAATTAATTAAGAAACTTTTAAACATATTTTATAATATAACTCACTTTAGAAAAGAGTGAAGTTTTTTATTTATAACGAAAAATATGTACCAATTCCTGGCAGGAAATTCAAATTAAGTAATTATTATGTACTCATAAAATATCACAAATAAAAGTATTTAACAATTTATTATAAATATTGTAAAATATTATAGAATAAATATCAGCGATTAATAAAATAATAATTTATAATAATAAAAATTTGTTTTATTTGAATTTCCCGCCAGGAATTGGTACATATTTTTCGTTATAAATAAAAAACTTCACTCTTTTCTAAAGTGAGTTATATTATAAAATATGTTTAAAAGTTTCTAAATTAATTATATGCACAAATAAACACGATTAAATAAACTTTAATAAGTGAGAAGTAACTTTTTGTGTGTTATCCCATGAATTTTCATTGAAATGTTCCCACTACACAGCCAGCGCCACCGGTGGCAACGGTCAAATCTGGTCTGAGTTTCAACTCAAGAGTGTTACCGGGGTGCTTGAGAGATATACGTCAGCCAGATCTTACTCGCACACTTTTTGCGAGAGAAAGAGACAGCACATGGCTAATGCGCATGCTCAGCTACTTTGGTGGTTGAGTAGAATGCAGTGAAACTGGCATTTATCGTGCATGTTTTTCTGACATTTTCAGAAGTCATGTACATTACAAATATAATATTTAAAAATTATTTTTTTCAAATGCAACAATTTTAAATTTTGCAATGAAAAGCCATAAAACCATAAAAGATTCTTCTGGCCTATACTTTTTTTTGTCCTTTTCTAACGTACGTATTATATATATGAAATCCCGTTTGTAAGACAAGGACAGAAAAGGAAAGGCGTCATTGACTACGACTATGTTATTAAAGTACCTACTTCAAATTTGTATTTTTTATTTTATAGTCAGCTAGTTTCCTTACATTTAGTTATAAGAAAGCAACTTATGTTGAAAACCTATTCTTACCACTGTGTTAACTCTATATATATATATTTGAAAAAAATTAGAAATCGCTGGCTATTTCACATAAAAGTTTATTTTTTTACAACTAGATGAGCAAAAACATTCTGGTCTCTTGTAAAATAGAATATATGAATTGATCGCTCAATCAATCTCTGAGTGATTGTTTTCATTCGATATAACTTTGATTTGAACCAAATATTGGATCTACTTATAGTCCAGCCCTGGCGGATTGGGTAAACCGAGTTGTAACCGAATTGGGTTACGATTGGATTACGTTTCGGTTCCTTGTGAAATATTGTCGTTAATCGACGAAATATGTTATACACTGGAGTCTCCCAAGAGAGGACTTCTGAAGGCCTTTCTCCAATAGGAACCTAAACTTTTGCGTTGCGTGACTGACGCGTTGATTTTAGCATTGGTTGCCAATAGCAACCGACGCAATGCATACGCAACGCAAGAGTTTAGGATCCTATTGGAGAAAGGCCTTGAAGAGAGGACTAAGTAGTGACGCGGCGCGGTAAGGAGTGAGGGGGGAAGAGATGGGCGGGATTAGAAAGAGGAACGTGAACTCAGGAGCGTTTGTTTTTAGTGTACCTTTCTCGCGCAGTGTTTTATGTATGTAATAGAATGTATTCTGTTAAAAAAACACATCTCTGTGATACGATATACGGCCCTGGAGTGTTTACAATTTTCGGCGTCAAGGACGAATTCCGTAGAGAGGTCCAAGACTATTCCTGTCCTCTCTTCGGAGACTCTAGTGTAAATAACTATTAGGAATGGTTAATATAGACATTTAGAGTGCTTATTTATGCAATAATAAGAATAAATTAAGCTACTATAAAAAGTTTGTACGATGACATTTACTAATATGCTAATATTACTAATATCTTATAAAATTCATTTCTTCTTCTTCACATGAAATTGAAATAAAAAGCACTGACGAAATATATAGCAACAGGATCCAACGGAATTGACATATTTGTGAATAACCCTTCAAAAAATCCACTTTCCACAAGTGGCACGGAGTCTGTCCAACAAGTGGCACGAACTAACGAACTTGCCACAAGTTGGACGGACTTCGTGCCACTTGTGGAAAGTGGATTTCTTGAAGGGTCATTCACAAATATGATAATTCCGTTGTATTCTGTTGCCGTCTATTTCGTCAGTGCTTTTCATTTCAAGTATTGGGATCGGCTAAACTGCAATACGCCATCTGGTGGGGACCCATTCTCTCCCTCCATTTTCTTTCTTTGTCTCTCTTCAATTAATAGGTTAGAAAGAGTAGAAAAAACAAAATGGAGGGAGAGAATGGGTCAAAGTTACTAGATTGTTACTAGACCACCGTTCCCAATAATTTCATCCGGGCAAGTCCGTTTAATGTTTTTGAATAAAAATGAATTTGTTATTTTTTAATTGAAAATATATGTAAAAGATTACATTTCAGTGTAAACAAATGATATTAACATCTTTATTAATCTTAAATATTCATAAAAATATACTTTTAATTTTAAAAAATAAAATCCTCTTCATGTATTTTAAATTAAAAAATGACAACATAACCAAAAAATCTTATTTTTATTCTAAACTAAGAAAAAACTTCCGCTTAATTCTTTGTGGAATCCGTAGTTTATTAATATGTATATTTACGTTTGGAAGGAGTATTTATGTGTGAACTATAAAAAGTTTGTTCGATGACATTTACTAATATGCTAATATTACTAATATCTTATAAAATTCATTTTTTCTTCTTCACATGAAATTGAAATGAAAAGCACTGACGAAATAGATAGCAACAGGATCCAACGGAATTGTCATATTTGTGAATGACCCTTCAAAAAATCCACTTTCCACAAGTGGCACGAAGTCTGTCCAACAAGTAGCACGAACTAACGAACTTGCCACAAGTTGGACGGACTTCGTACCACTTGTGGTACGAAACACCGCCACTTGCGTCCGAGACGCTCGTGAGCCGTACAGGCTTCCGTACAAATCCCGTGCCTAGCATTTTCTTTCTCGATGACCTACAGTTTGTTTTAACCTTTCACTTCGTACACCGAAATTATAGGTGCAACCTTCTTTCCGTGTAGTGTCCTATAGAAAAAGAATCCACAGCCTTTTCAAGTGGATTTTTATGATCTTTTTGAGGTTTACATTTCAAGTTGAAAGCAAGGGAAACTTGGGATCGTATTTCCTATTGCCATTTTACAAAAATGTTTGTTCTAAAAAATGTTTACTTTTTACATTTTGGGAATGAGAATTTGAAAGGAATTAAAGCGTGACGGAATTATTTTAAATTAGTCATGCTTTTTACGAATATCTGAATAGTTTTATTTTAAGGAGGGTGGCGGGTCAACATAACCTCAAAAACCTGTCAAAACTAAAAATTGTTTTTAACGCAAACAAAAACATAATAAATATTAATTTCACACAATTTTAGAAGATCTAGATTTACTCCTTTCGAAAAAAATTATTTTTTTCCAAAATATTTTGTCAATATAATTATTTTTTTAACATTTAGTTTTTTTTTCTTTTAAATCAGACAAAAATTGCAAGTTTTAACCAATTTTTATAAACAAAAGCTCATTTTACTAAGTGAAACATTCTCTACAATTGTTACTTTTTTATATTATAATAAGTATGTTCTTAAAAAGTTATAAACAATTAAAATTTTATTTATTAAATAACTTTTTAAGAACATACTTATTATAATATAAAAAATCTAGATCTTCTAAAATTAAAACAATCTTTTAATTTTGACAGGTTTTTGAGGTTATGTTGATCCGCCACCTTCCTTAAGAAGAATAAAATATTAAGAGACTGAAAAATTAATTCTAAACAAATTTTGATATTAAAATTTAGCGCGTTGATATATCGTAATTCGAGATATCGAAAGTAAAGTCGAGCGAGAATACAGTCGCTCGTTACCTCTGTGCATAATGGCATTCAGCAAACAGTGTGAGTATGCCTTCATGCATTAGGGTGGCGTATAGGCGCTTCCGTACTTCCGAAATAAACATGCTGATGGATCACCCAATCACAACATACTGACAGTATACTCATAGAAACTCCCGAATACACCCAATTGGAGTCCGCATTCTAGTACGGAAGCGCCTATCCGCCACTGTGAGCGAATCATGCATGAAGCCTAAAGTAAGCTTCACATTGCATGATTTGCAGTGGTGCCTACCTATTAGGCTGCAGTCCCATGGCAGCGTTTTGCGTTGCGTTTTGTCACTAGACCCTGAGTGTAAACATAGCAAACATATATCTGCATCTCTTTTACACTCATGGCCTAGTGACAAAACGCAACGCAAAACGCTGCCATGGGACTGCAGCCTTAGGCCAGCTGAAACTGGACATATTTTCACTTTTTGCGAGCGAGCGAAGCCCCCCATGACTGGTGCGAATGTAATTTTGTAGGTGAAATTTTAAGTCTAAATAAAGTTAGTGAAATGTAATATTAAAAAATGATGTGTTTTGAATAATTATTCGCTGATAATTATTTTCAATAAAGAAAACTTGTGAGGTAAGTTGCCTTTTATTAATATAATTAAAAAAAGTTTTTTAGGTTAAGTGGTATAATCAGTTTAATTACACTTTTATTATTTCAATTGCTTTTTATTTATTATTATATATTATTGTTTACTATATTAATCTAAAAATATTAATATTTTGTTTTTGAAAGTTTTGATAATAAGTAAAACTATAGATTTTGTAAAATTGTTAGAAATTAATATTCATTATATTTTTTGTTTGCGTTAAAAACAATTTTTTTATTTTTATAGGTTTTGAGGTTATGTTACTATCTCCATTATACTTGATATATGTTTAAAATCAAAATTTTCAAAAACAAAATATTAATATTTTTAGATTATATAGTAAACAATAATATATAATAATAAATAAAAAGCAATTGAAATAATAAAAGTGTAATTAAACTGATTATACCACTTAACCTAAAAAACTTTTTTTAATTATATTAATAAAATGCAACTTACCTCACAAGTTTTCTTTATTGAAAATAATTATCAGCGAATAATTATTCAAAACACATCATTTTTTAATATTACATTTCACTACCTTTATTTAGACTTAAAATTTCACCTACAAAATTACATTCGCACCAGTCATGGGGGGCTTCGCTCGCTCGAAAAAAGTGAAAATATGTCCAGTTTCAGCTGGCCTAATAGGTGGGCACCACTGCAAATCATGCAATGTGAAGCTTACTTTAGGCTTCATGCATGATTCGCTCACAGTGGCGGATAGGCGCTTCCGTATTCTAGATATATATAGTTCAGTGAATTCCAGCATCTGTCTAAAACACCACAGACCTGCGCTTCACCCACTACATATTGCTCAGTCCAGTTCTGTTTATATGATTGTGACAGAACCGAACCTGATGTTTAAAGTGGTGTTAGTGCGTAAATGCCCTAGCGTGTAGCACCAGCAGTAGAGTAGCCAAAGTGAACTAGTGAATGAAAGGTGTGTCAATGTTAGTTTTTGCAAATAGTCATATATTGTTCAGCAACTATTTGTGAATTCGAAGATTATGCTTTTAATTTAACTCTTAACTTCCTTTATCTTTATGTAATTTTAAAATTAGTGTAATGGTGAATGACAACCGACCCGTCTTGTTGTAAGGGTTGATAGACATTTGCCATTTTCAGTTGCATTCTGTATTTTTTTTAAACTGCAATCATTTCGAAAAGTCAAATTTTTAAAGTAGAGCAAAGATAGCGCAAACTAGTAATGCATTCAATTATAATTATTTGTATAATATTTGAAAGTATTTTCTAATTTTAACTGAAATAAAAATTTTCCTATGACGTTCTAGCCGGCTTACAATTGTGATGTTCATAAACAATCTTTGTAGTTTAAAATGAAACTCAGATTCCTTTATAATTTAAAATCTAAATTATTGGTACGCATAATGATGACAATATATATATATATATATATTTATATATATATATATATATATATATATATATATATATATACATATCTCCATACACATAATGATTACGCATGTGTGATTATGGCTGTCAATGCATTTAAATATGTTTATTTTCATATTTTTAATGACAGGTTAAAGAAGTTTTTCTTTTAGTTTTTTTATTTGGTAACGCTAAATAGCTGACACTTAATATTGTATGTGCGAATACTGTAATCTGAACTTAAAAGAGCATGGAGGCCAATTAAGAAAGTGAAGTCTTGTATTGCAAGTGTTAAGTATACAACATTACTGGATTTATCCTTATAATCTGAAATATAGTTAACCCTTCGTAATTGAAGTGACTGCTGAATGTTTTGTCATCTGCAATAGTTCGAATCTCCCGATTCAAGGATGATCAAGAGTGTGAAATTCTCGTCCTAAGGTAATAATTTAGGTTAAAATTGAAAACAGAAACTGGTATTTTTTTATTGATAAGAATTACAAAATTTCAATTGCTAAAAGAGTTTAAGAATAAGTAGTGGACAAAATACGACGAAAATTCAAACCGCTTACATTTGACTTCTTTTCTCGTCCTAAATGACTCGATTTCATGAGAAAGCAAATCAATTTTTTACAGGAAAAAGGTTACTTCAACAGGTCACTTTTGTTTCTTTTCTTAATAACTTCATAAACATTATTCAGATATTGTTAAAAAAGTTTACAATTTCTTAATTTCTATGAAATGTTATTGAACTTATCAATATGACAATTTTAAGTGTGCTAAGTAATTAGCATATTTGATTAACAAATTCACTTGTAAGTTTGTATTATTCTGAAATAAAATAACTTTCTTATTTCTATGACGTCTCAACTCCAGTCTTTGTAGGGTTGTGAGTCGTGAAACGTTTCATTGAAAGATTGAAACTTTCATTTGAATGTTTCAATCTTTCATGGACGTAAATTTCATTAGTTTCATGAAACATTGGATAACCAATAGTAAGCCTCACCCCGGTGACACTTGTACCATTTTCTATAGGAATAAACTCGGCTGAGAACTGACCGTCGCCACCAGTGGCGCTGGCTGTGTAGTGGGAACATTTCAATGAAAATTCATGGGATAACACACAAAAATTTACTTCTCACTTATTAAAGTTTATTTAATCGTGTTTATTTGTGCATATAATTAATTTAGAAACTTTTAAACATATTTTATAATATAACTCACTTTAGAAAAGAGTGAAGTTTTTTATCTATAACGAAAAATATGTACCAATTCCTGGCGGGAAATTCAAATTAAGTAATTATTATGTACTCATAAAATATCACAAATAAAAGTATTTAACAATTTATTATAAATATTGTAAAATATTATAGAATAAATATCAGCGATTAATAAAATAATAATTTATAATAATAAAAATTTATTTTATTTGAATTTCCCGCCAGGAATTGGTACATATTTTTCGTTATAAATAAAAAACTTCACTCTTTTCTAAAGTGAGTTATATTATAAAATATGTTTAAAAGTTTCTAAATTAATTATATGCACAAATAAACACGATTAAATAAACTTTAATAAGTGAGAAGTAAATTTTTGTGTGTTATCCCATGAATTTTCATTGAAATGTTCTCACTACACAGCCAGCGCCACCGGTGTCAACGGTCAAATCTGGTCTGAGTTTCAACTCAAGAGTGTCACCGGGGTGTGAAAAGTTAATTATTATAATAAAAAAATATTTTACGACTGTTTTTGTTACTAAACTAAATTTTTTTTTATTATTTAATTAATCATACTTAATTTATTATTATATCACAATTTTGCCTATTTTTGGAGGCAGTTCAGCTTAAGGGCTGAAAATTTAAACAAAATATCACATTAAATAATTTTTCAATCAAAAAAATTTAATATAATAAATATCTTTTTTAATTTTCGAGTAATCGTTGGTATGTTATTTTTATGCAGTATGAGTATGGAGAGATATTTATTATATTTATTTAAACTATTTTGATTGAAAAATTATTTAATGTGGTATTTTGTATGAAATGTTTAGCCTTGAAGATGAACAGATTCCAGTTCAAAACCTAGGAAAAATTCTAATATAGTAGTAAATCAAATATGACGAAAAAAACCGATTTAAAATATTATAATTTCCAGTCGTTAAATTAATTAATATTATTATTAATAAGGAATTATTATATATAATTTAAAAAATATTCCCGCCTCTTTGTTTGAAACTTTGAAACGTTTCATAAAGCATTGAAAGTTTTATGAACATTTAATTCAACGAAAATTTCATGAAACTTTACAACCCTATCTGAAGGACTTTTTCAGTGATCCTTAAATAACAAAATAATTAATTTTTATCATATGTTTCTCAACTCCGATCTCTTAATGTGATTGAGCATATGCAGTTGTGTAGGATAAATATTTGAAATCTATTTGCATAAATATTTATATTCTGATAAACAATTTAAAAAATATACTCTTTTCTTTACCTATTATTTTGTATCTCAATAACATAAAGATTAGGTTCTCAAATTTACTCCTAAATCTAAATAAATTTAAAATTCTATTTCGATCACAAAAAAGAATCAAAACAACTCCTATTATCTTGAAAAGTAGAATGTGAGAAACTTGAGGTTATGACGTGTCCTGTCTATGCATAGGGTTGTAAAGTTTTATTAAATTTTCATTGAATGAAATTTTCATAAAACTTTCAATGCTTCATGAAACGTTTCAAAGTTTCAAACAAAGAGGCGGGAATATTTAAATTACATATAATAATTCCTTATTAATAATAATATTAATTAATTTAACGACTGGAAATTATTATATTTTAAATCGGTTTTTTTGGTCATATTTGATTTACTACTATATTAGAATTTTTCCTAGGTTTTGAACTGGAATCTGTTCATCTTCAAGGCTAAACATTTCATACAAAATACCACATTAAATAATTTTTCAATCAAAATAGTTTAAATAAATATAATAAATATCTCTCCATACTCATACTGCATAAAAATAACATACCAACGATTACTCGAAAATTAAAAAAGATATTTATTATATTAAATTTTTTTGATTGAAAAATTATTTAATGTGATATTTTGTTTAAATTTTCAGCCCTTAAGCTGAACTGCCTCCAAAAATAGGCAAAATTGTGATATAATAATAAATTAAGTATGATTAATTAAATAATAAAAAAAAATTTAGATTAGTAACAAAAACAGTCGTAAAATATTTTTTTATTATAATAATTAACTTTTCACAAGTTTATTTTTTGACCTAACCTAAAATAATTATTACGGTATTGCGCATGTACACATGAAGGCTTACTATTGGTTATCCAATGTTTCATGAAACTAATGAAATCAATCTTTCAATGAAACGTTTCACGACTCCCAACCCTATCTATGCAAGAGAAATGGGTAAGAAGTGAATTAACCTATATAGGACCGAACAAACTGTTCGACTAATCAAACACTAGTTTTCACATTACAAATAAAATATTGGAATATCATACATTATTATGCAACTACATTTGTAACATCGACAAGTAGTTGACTTTAAAAATTTTAAAGAACCAAATTAATAAACAATTACAATAATTATGACACTTACATTTGTCTGGAATTGTAGTGTTCGACTAGTCGAACAGCTGTCCGATACGGGTTAAAATGAATAGAAACATTTTTATCGAAATGAATGTCGTTTTTGATCGTTGCCATTTGAATTAGAAACTTCACTTAAGAGGGATTAAATTGTATTAATTTATTATTTATTAGTTTACACTGTTAGAAAAAGCAGCGATTAGTAATACCGTAATTTGAATTCAATATACTATGGTTAATTAATATTAATATACCTTCATATTAACATTGAAGATACAGGTGTGTAATAAATTCAATATGCGTATTTTAAATTTAATATACTATTATATTAAGGTATTAGTCACGTAAAGTGATTTTCGTCAGATTTTTTTAAAACTTTGCATGAGTGTTCCTGAAGTTTTTATCTAAAAAAACTACTACTACTAAATTGATCAATGAATCAGCATTAACACAGGCAACTTTACTGGATACAAATTATTTTGTATGTATTTGAATGTTAACAAAATACTTGCTGAACTTGTCATTATATTTTGTTTGTTTACATGTAAATATAACCTAAAAATAAAAATAATTAAGAAATTTCGTTTGAAATATATACAATGAAAAAAAATTATTTATATTTTTATTATTTTTATATAACTTACAACAAATTATTGCAATAATTTCTTTATTATTTCATTATGAAACATAATTGAAAACATATATTTTAAAAATCTAAATTATATATTCGTATATAAATAAGCAAAAACTTACCAATTTTCAAAAAATTTATGTTTTATTTAAAATTTTTGTGTGTAACTTTTTTCTTTCTTTACACTTTTTCTAAAATTATTATATATCACTTTACACTGTTTACTATATCAGAACTGCTGTCACTAGGCGCAGCCATATTTTGAAAACTTCTAAGTACACCGCTTTTCCGCTAAGGCGTCATAATCGGAGATATGTAATTTCGGATTTATTCTCATGCAGGAGGGGGCCTGGATTCGCTCTAACCTCAAAAAATATCTTAAAATCGCTAAAATGGTCACTTTTGATTGATCAAAATTGAATCCAACCACATATTGATAAGTTTCTAAGGTCTTTTAATTTAAATAAACTATTCTACAAGCTTTCCAAGTGAAAATTTATATAAAACATCAAATCTATCGATTCTAACCTCAAAAATACATCTAAGCTTCCAAATAAACAAATTATACCATATATAGCGCAATTAAAAATAGGTAAGCTTATAAAAGTTACTACTCAGGTCTTTTTGTGGTTGCTGATTACGGATCTGATGTCAACTTTCGAAAATTCAAAATGTCGGACCCAATATGGCGGCCAAAATTCCTAAAATTGGACCTAAGTTGATAAAAGTTTTGAACCAATTTTTATAAACAAAAGCTCATTTTACTAGGTGAAACATTCTCTACAATTGTTACCTTTTTAGGGTTCCGTACTCGGTTCGGAACCCCATTAATATCGGTTTTTTTTTAAATCGTGTACCCCCCCCCTTAGCGGTCACACGAATTTATCTAGAGGGCTGAAAATTGGTACACATATGTATTTTCGCGTGTAGATTACAGGAAAAATATAGCGAACCTGAGAGGAATTGATTATCATAGCGTTGTCAAGGAAAAACCATGAATTTTTACGAAAAATGCCTAAAAATGACTATGTACCCCTCCTCTAGCAGCCACATCTTTTGACATAAAGAGCTCAAATTTAGCACACTTACGTATTTTAACGTGAAAATTACAGGAAAAATATAGCGAACTTGATTCGGATCAATTTACATAGCGTTGTCAAGGAAAAATAAAAAATTTCGAAAAAAACTGATTTTTTCTC